ATCTCCAGTACACAGTTGTACATGCTAGTTGTAAGTCATTCTAGTTCTTCTATGTAAGATGCTGCTACTGCATGGCTTGATGAGTGGTGTGTAGGTCTGCACCTGGGATCCGCACCAGCAAACCCTGGGCCTCGGAAGCAGAGCACATGAACTTAACCACTAGGCCACAGGGCTGGCCCCCAAATCTATTATTTCAAAGAAATACAATTTTACCCTGAACAGAATCTGGAAAGAGGTAACCATATGAGTTACCTCATGATATACAGACATAGTAAGTTGGAGGCAAAGGGGTTGGGGTGTCAAGGGCTCCTGGTGTGAATTACCGATGAAAAAGTTGCTGGAGACTGATGTGCATGTTGATCTAATTGGCTTCTTATGAGAAAAGGGAAGACACTTTGAAGGTGACGTATCCGAGAACTATGGAAGTTTGGAATCCTAGATTTGTGAATTCAGAGTCAGACAAAGCTGTGATAAAGCTACAGGAGACAAGAGAAGGGCGGACTTGTGTACTACGGACTGCCCCCACACACAATGACCTAGAAGATATTTGAGATGGCTAGACCTTCTCCTTGGATGTGGACTCTGTGTGTTCCAAGAACATATGCTGGTTGTATTCTAAATCTTTTTATTTGATCCTATGGGATCTTTTCCTAAATTCTTCAGGAAATCTGGGGATTGTAAGAAAAAGGGGATTGCAACAGACATTGGAAAAGCCATGTTAACCATGTGGTAATCAGATAATATACGCTTTAATATAAAAAATGTTTGAGAAAACATTTCCCCTCTTGCCAGTGATACAGGAGGAAGAGAGAGAAGGAAAGATGGGGGGAGGGGAGGTAAGGATGCAATGGCGAGATTCCTTTCTGGGTCTGAAGTATCTGAGAGCTATAGCAAGTTACATTGAGACCGTAGGTGGCAGAGTAAAGTATTATCTTCACAGCAAAACCATTCGTGAGAAAAATATGAGAGGAAATCCTGAGAAAGTAAAAGGGCCAAAGTGTTCTCTGCGTGGGTTTCAAAGCCTGAGGCGGTCAGACTTAGTTTTTTCTTATTTTTTTCTTATTACCTTGACTATGACCTGGGCAAAGAAGAATTACAAATAGAGATAGAGGGAGGGAGAGATGGATGAATATATAATCTTACTAGGTGAAATATACATTTATAGAAACTCCTATATTTTAATTTCTTAACAGAAATAAATAAGCAATTACATATATGATTAGTCCCATTTCTAACTCAAATTTATGGGACATATGTTGTGAACGAAGGAACTAGTTGATGGTAACTGGAGAGTAATAGTAGATTTACATAGCTTCTCAAAAAGGAAATTTGTCTTGGGGCTGGCCCAGTGGTGCAGCGGTTAAGTTCCCACATTCCGCTTCGGCTGCCCGGAGTTCGCAGGTTTGGATCCCGGGCGTGGGCCTGTGGACCACTCGTCAAGCCATGCTGTGGCACGCGTCCCACATATAAAGTAGAGAAAGATGGGCATGGATGTTAGCTCAGGGCCAGTCTTCCTCAGCAATAAGAGAAGGATTGGTGGCAGATGTTAGCTCAGGGCTAATCTTCCTCAAAAAAAAAAAAAAAAAAAAAAGGAAATTTGTCTTGCCTTCACATACAACAACCAGAAGGCAAAGCAGAGGAAGGCTTTTGAACACAGACAAATTGCATTTAATTAAGGTAAAAGGAAGAGAAAGAGAAAGGAAATAAACCTTGTTTTCTCTTCACAGATTTACCGACACAGATGAAGAAGATTATTATGAGCAGGGTTTTCCACAGGTATCACATGGGGTCAGGTGACACACTGTGTGGGGCAGCCTCTGTCTGATGACGTCAATGCTAATGAGAGTGTTCTCATTCTCGTGCTGGAAGAACTCAGTGATACTGAGATTGTTTTCCTGGACCTTTAGGTAGAACCGAGTCCTAGAGTCATGCAAGACTGACACATTTTTAAAGATGGTTTATTGTTTGTGACAGAATCCAAGTTTTAACCTACTACTTGTAATTAAAAGAATTATATTTGAGAGAGGAAATATTCTAGTTAAGAGAGGAAATATTACTAATACATTGCTGGTAACAGTGTGACAGATAAACCAGTTAGTCACAAAAACAGTTAGGTTAGCAAGCTCAAGTTTTGGGTTTCCCACTAGAGCTATCTGTCTTTTTTCAAAACACATTTCTAGGATAAAGTAATAATGATGGTAATAATCGTAATAAAGATCACTAACAGCACCACTAGTGACAAGAACCTAAGAAAACCTGTAGAGACCCAGTGGTTTAAAATGTTGCACAATTTTCATGGGACCAGAGTTGGACACAGAAGGAAAGATGCTGGAAAGCTACCCTGGGGACGGTGACAGTTGGGCCTGATGACCACAGGAGAGGGTGGCCATGTCTCCTGGTGGGAAAGGAGACAGAAAGATTCTGGGTCCTGATAAAACTGCAGGGAAATGTAGCAGAATTGGGAGAAGCTCACGTCCCTCTCGCAAGGGGATCTTCTCACAGCCTGAGATGACTGTTTGGCATCACACCCTAACCTTAAACAAGTTATCAAGTATTGCAAGTTTTACTTAAATTTATTTAAAGTTTTAATTTACTTAAGGTTTTAATTGGGTCTACTTCTAGCATCCTGTTACTCCCAAGTGAGCACAATCAGATTTCTGTGTATTAGTTTGAAGCACTAGTATGCTTAGTATGTGTCACCTCACAGAGTCTAGTGTGAGCAATGCCCTTAGAGCTGCAAACATCCCAGTTGTGTCTAACACACTCCCCAGGGCTCCGCATGCTGGCTGTGCATTGTCACCCACGCTCACGAGATCTCTTCTAAACACGGATAGTGAAGATGAATGAAAATGGCAGAGTAGGATCAAGTCATTTAAAAGGTGACAAGCTAGTGAAATAACTGAAAAATAAGTGACTACTAGGGGCTGACTACCTCAAGCTCTCTTGGTTAGTCACAGAGCCAGAAACTCCTAATTACAACCTTAACACCTAAGTGTCCTACCTTTACCAGACACAGTGCCGTTTTCAGATGAGAAACTTTTACTTTACAGAAGTTAAGTGAAGACTCAAATTAGGACCTCTCTGATTCCAATTTTTTTTCTCTTAACAACTATGCTATTGGTCTTTAGGATTCACTACACTCTTTACTTTCTTTTGGTTTCACCAAAGGGTCTAAAATTCTGCTTTCAGCATTGTTATAGAGGCCCAAGAAAATATGGTGATTTGTCTATAGAACACTATCTGGAACACAGCTACATTAACCACAGAAGGATACTCCTGGTATTTGATTAAGTTTAATGAGAAGATAACATTTTTTAATGGCTGGAAGTACAATGATGAATACAACCTGAGTTTTGCCCTTGTGAAGGTTCTGTAATACACTGGAGGAGACAGACATGTAAATGGATAACGCTATTGTTCAAAGGGCTGTCATGGAGCTCTGTAAATGCTCACAGAAAAACAAGCAGAAAACAAGGTAAAAACGTAGAACATAGAAAACAAGCGCGGACCAGGCTAACTGCTTGGAGACACTTGGGAAAGCTTCACAGAAGAGCTAGCATTTAGACTAAACCTTGAAAAGACAGAAATTTTACCTTGGAAGGAATGTGGGAGGACGTTGTAGGCAGGTAGAAAACAGCTATGAAAAAGAAAAGAGTGAAGAAATGTACTAATGATAAGAGCTATAACTTGAACACTTATTCTGAACAAGACCCTGTTCTAAGGGCTTTAAATATTGCCTTGTTTAATCCTCCCAACAACCCAACAAGGTAAGTACTATTTGCCCTACTTTATAGACAAGAAAACTTGGAGAAATGAGAGTAACTTGCCCAAGTTTGTAAAACTTGGAAGTGGTGAACGAGAAAGGTGACTCACGGTGGCACTCCCTGGGGCCCACACAATGTGCTCAATGAGCTACAAGTTGGCATGAGCAGAAATTAGACATATATGGAGAAAGACGACTACTAGCTTCAGGAAGGGACTTGTAGGCTAAGTCTTGTCTCATCTTCCAAGCTAAGGTGTTTGGAGTTTATCCAAACGTAGTTGATGGAGAACCACTGAAGAATTTTAAACCAAGAGAATTCAATATGTTGTAGAAAAATTGTTCTGGCAACATATGCATATTGGATCAAAGGAGGGTGAGAAATTAGAGGACAATTGGCAATGAAAAAAAGTCAAGGGAACACAGGTCCAAGAAAATCCCCTGAAATTCATCAAGCCCAGTTATCTTCCTTTGCAAAGTTAGTGAGGACCAAGGAGCCAAAACTTCAGAAGGGGACACCCTGGTAGTTGTGCCATTTGGAACTCGGATGAGCAATCTGGGCCAGAGATAGGACAGTCACGGAGGGTTGGTGACTGTGCTTATTAAGATCATTTAGTGAGGACTGCAAAGAGAAAAGGTCATCTTTGCTCCCATTCCCCTGCTCACATATTTTTACACTCTCCTATTGTCTCTCTCTCTCTCACTCTCTGTCTCTCTCGTGTCAATTTCTAAGCATCCCCATTTATTCCCCAAAATAAAATAAATAAACAAAAACCACTCCGACTCTATATCACTTTCTAGCTCCCACCCTTTTAGCGTTCTTTCTCTTCCCAGCCAAGCTGCTTGAAAGTGATAAAAGTGACATATTCCTTCCCTTCATTCCCCTCCTCACCTCCCATGCATTTTTCTACCAACTACCATCTGCTCTCTGCCTCCAGGACTCCACAGACATGACTCTGGCAAAGGGTAACAAAGATGTCTTTATCATCAGAGTTCCTAGACACTTTTCAGCGTAGATCTCTATAATCACTCAGTATTTTAGAACTTTCCTTAGCCTAATATCAAGGGGAAGTCCCTTCTCCTTTCCAAAGTACAAATGGTGAATTAGTTTTTTTTTTTTAATTAAGGCAGTGACGGATGGATTCTGAAGCTCCAAAGAGAGACCTCAATCAGAAGAGTTTTTGTTTGCTTGTTTTTTAATCAATTCCATTTATTTCCTGGAAATACTTTAAACACTTACAGTTTTCTCTGCTGTTTGCCGTTGATGTCCCTTCCCTTGAACTATTTCATATTCAGCAAGAAAATGCTACCTGAGAAAAGAAATTCATCCACAGTCAGTCTCCGTGGACATACCCTCGTAACCACTCTCCCTTGGTGAGGTAACCTGCCTCCCTCTTTCATTTTTGAGATGATTCGCAATAATGTGATGGTGTCGCAATTTTTTTTGTGTCCTTGGGGGCACTGAGAAGGGGAGTCTCTCTATACTTTGACAAAAATAGTATGAAGAAATAAGCATGCAAAAAATTCTCAAAGCCAGACTGATAGATACAGAGTGAAGAACATTCCTATGTTTTTAGCTCTTTTTTACTGTACAATTGATATAAATTATCTAGAGAATATAATGAATCAAGCCTCATAATCCCATGCTCCACTAGCCAGAGTTTATCAACTCCTGCTGAAGTTTACAATTAAAGACACATTGTTCCATGACAAATTTCTCCCTAAGCAAAGATTGTACAAAGATTCACTGACACAGTTTTTATGACACTATTCTCTCATGATCCTTCTTCTACATTTCTTTCCATCTGGTTTTCAGGTCCTCCTCTCCATACTCTTAAAATTGGTATGCCCTAAGTTTTTTTTCCTTGGTCCACTTGTCTCTTTTCTCTTATCTCCCTCCATGATCTTGGTATTCTCAAAGTTTTGATGATGTCTACAGACGAGTCCCTTTCTCTCCTCCTGGGCTCAGAGCCATCACCTTCCGAACGTAATAGATATCTGGATGTGCCATAGGCTCGTGACCCCAAACTCAACACATCCTCAAGGGAGCTTGCGAGCTATTCAAATTCCAATCAAATTGGTGCCTCTTAATATTTTCTCAATCTGAGATATTAGTACTATCAAGAAGCCAATCAGTCAAGCCAGAAATTGTAGAGTATTCCTAGATTACCTTCCCAAATGAACATTCGGTTAACTCCGCTGGTACCCCTTGCCCCAGCTCGCCAGTGCCTCCCTTCCTCACAAATTTAAATCGCCCACTCTTCCCTGGACGGGTGTCTGACTCTAAAGTCAGAAGGCCAGGAGAGTCACCTGAGACCACTATCTTATACACCCCTCAGGAAGACAATGAGCGCTTTCTTAAGGGTAGTTGATGCAATATTTTTGCACCCTTATATTTGGGGTCTTTCAATCACTATGTATGGAAATTTGTGAACAAAAATCTTTGAATCCAATACTCATAACCTGTTGATATTGGCCAAGACTTATAAAAGATTAAACTGCGGTTTAAGAGGAAAGCAATTGAGAAATACGACACCAGGAATACCCATTAGAGAGTGAATACTGAAATCCATAGTTAAAATAGTAGCTTGCCTTCTACATGGCTCACTTGCCTCTACCATTCACCTCATCAAATCTGTAAACGACAGCATCAATTGGTTCACTAGGGTGAAGACAGTCTCCCAGCATGTATTCCATTTACCAAGATGTCACCCTCAAGCAGAACCTACCTGGGGCTTCTCACAATATCTATTCACGTCAAATTAAATTATCTGGTTATCTCATTCTGATTCCTTATATTCACTATAAAAGGATCCCTTCCCCTGCAAAAAAGAAAAGGGAGAACAGTATAATTGAACAAACGTTTAGGATGGTAAAAAGAAGAGTTTGCCTCCCATCTAGCTGGCTTGTTCCAGAGACTAAGTAGAGTTTAATTGCATACACGATGCCCGTGACTTTCAGTTTTCAAATCAGTAAAACAGAAACGTGTATGTCTGTAACTTATCCTGCCTGAGAATCCATTTGTGATTTGGCCAACTCAGCTAAGTCTAAACTTGGGATACGATTTAATGGAACTCAGTTAAACCCTATGAGTACTACCTTTTGTTGACGCAAATGAACAAGATTTAGTTTCCAACTGATCAAAATCATTAATTCACTCATTAGAGCTATAAATTGTCCATCGATTTTTATAGGGGGAAATGATTCATGCTGTATAATTACAACTCAGAAACAGAAATTGAGTTTTCTCCCCAAAGATTCATCTGTTTGACAACTCTGACTGAGTTCTCTCTTGGTAAAGTCCCCATAAAATCCATATCTTCCTCGCTATGACCTCTGAAATCTTCCACAGTCAGGGAAGAAAAAAAAACCCCGAAGTGTCTCTTACATAGAGTCGCCTCCCTGGAATTGTGGCTGTGGCTGTGGAACTGGCTTCATCTGCCAACTCTTTACTGCGGGAGGTTTTCTAATTGATAATGAGCTCCTTAGGGGAACATGATTTCAGAGTGTAAATTAATAATCGTTTTCAAAGCACGGCACCTGATTTTTAACAAGTTATCTACCACATTGTACGTTACACTTTGCAATAAACTACTCCTAAAAAGGCAAATTTACAAAAAGAAAAAACTTTTTTGAGTTCGATGGTACACATGTAAACAAATCAACGATTGTCGTGACCTGCTTTTCTAAAATACAAAACAATCTCTTGAGTGGTAAAAGATAACTTGTTGAGTTTAAAAGTATCCCAATCTGAGAGCTGAGTATAGACAGGGCAGGTGTCTCTTAAATCCCAGCTCATTGGGATATGTGCTGAAGAGTGTTTAGTGAAACTCAACATAGAAACAGAAACGTTGACTTAAAAGAAAAAGAAAAGAGAGAGCCCTTTAGGTCCTCTGGTCTATCCCAAATGGGTTCTCAGTATTTTTTATAACCTACCTCTAGGGTGGCCGGATAACGCACTGGTGATAAAGCTTTTTTGAATAAATAATTCAGTAGCCAGAGAAGGTAAAAACACCGTTGGTATTGTAGCTGAGCGTTTTGTTTTCTAATTATGAAGCAACTTGGAAGGCTGACGCTCCGGGGCTGAGTGATTTCACCAGGTTTGTTCTGTGGTTCCCCATTGTCGCCCTTGAAAAGGACATTCCCACAGAGCGGGCTCTAAAGACAATAAACATCGTGTGTAAAAAGAAATGACATAATATCGGGCACTGATAAGGGGAGCTTTTCCCAGGGGCCCGGGGACTGCGGGAGGGGCTGGGCCGGCCTGGAAGGAAGCGTCCACGCGGGCGGCTCGGGCGCAGCGGGCTCCACACAAAGGGCCTGGCCAGGGCGGCCCGCCCGCCTCTGTGAAAATCAATCCCAGGAAGTCTGATGCCATGAGCCATTTCCTGTCCGCTGTGTGGGAAATTTAACCGAGTGCAAACGGCGGCAACAATGGGACAATATATTATAATAAACAGGAAAAATAGCATTGGCCACGGAAATCAATGGCTGGAGTTCATGAGGCATTCATGGGATTGACAAGTGAATAAATTAAAACCAAAAGGTTAGGACATTCAAAGAGAAGTTAATTTTATGTCTGCCCTCGAGCTCCCCTTTTCAGACTCGAATTAAGACTGTGTATAATAAAATGAACATAAAGTCTTAGATGTACAAAAAGGGCTTCGTTAGGACCTACATCGTCAGAAACCCAGAGTCTTTTATACACGTCCCCATGCGTGTAGAGTCGCTGCTCACGGCGCATTAACAACCCCCTCGACAGCGTGACCAAAGACTTATTTAGAGGAGTTTCTTGCTTTAAATAAACCTGCTCTCAGCAGCCAACTGTTCGTCCAGGAAGTGAGGTGACACCCCAAGACGCTGAAGAAGTTTACTCAACCAGAACCAAAGCGGGATGTGTGCAACTCAGCTCTTTAATTTAAAGAAGCCAGCAAAAGCCACACGAGGCCCCTCCAAACCCCAAATGATTAGAAACAACAGAACATAAGGAACTCTAAAGCAGACTTCAGTGACACCAACACTGATCGATCCATCTCCCTGCCATAGTAGCTTCCCTTTTTAAAGATGTTTTAAAGTTTGGCTTTTTTAATAACAAAATGATTTTAATTAGAATTCACCACTGAACCTCGGTTTTGCAATAAAGCATTTGACACACCAAATTCTTTCTCCTAATTACTGTTAAAGGCAGAGCGTTGTTCGGTAGACAAAGCAATAGGCTGAGGATTTTGAGAGAATTAATTCTAATCCAGGCTTTGCTATTAACTTTCAATCCATCACAGTTCTTTTGACAATTAAGCGTGAATCTACTCCATAGTTTATGAACATTTGTTTTAAGTAATTACAAAGCATGAATGCTCTGGTGACTGTTGCTAGTGAGCGATTCCACATAACCTCATATTTAGAGGCTATAACTCAAGTGTACCTTGCAAAGTCTTGTTTGGGCTCCAAAGATGTTTGGCTGCATTATTCATTTTATATTCCTTGTTTGGGGACTAAGATGGTTTCTTTACATATCAAGGATTGCTGATAGAAGGCAGTACTTTGGAAAGTTAAATGATTTAATCTTTAATAAATGGAAATTAACCCAAGAGTGTCTAGTCTCATAAGAGTAGGCATAGTACATTAAAGTAGAAAGATAATACCAGAGAGCCAAACTGTGGTTTTACCTTAAAATAAAATTTCCACTACGTTTTCGTGAGGATATAGAAAGGTTAAGAAATAACATCCTTTAATCTGTTTATTATTTTAAATGTGGTAACTACCTAGGTTTTGTTTTTTTTTTTCTTTTTTTTGGCTTGCCCAGAAGAAGGTGGAGGGGGGATGAAAGTCAAATTTATTTATTTGTTTAAATTAATCCAACTTCATTCTTAACAGTTCAGTTCAGTAGGTGGTAAAACGCAACTGAAGCAGCCAGCAGAGGGCAGTATATAACAGTAGAAATAGTCTGTTTATTTGAAAGATAAATCCTATTAGTTCAACCAGACCAAAAAAGAGAAAAAACACATTTCTACATGAAGCAATTTCTGACCAAAGAAACAAAAATTCTGGCATCAAACTATATATGAAAATGCAGTAGGGGGACGTCAAGGCTTCCTGGAGAATCCGCTGCATTTTGGTGACTTTCCCCCGGAAGCCACCCTTCACACTCCTGACTCCATTTTGTCTCTGCGCAGGCCGGAAACAGAAATTGACTTCTGCATCCCAGCTCTTTGTTAATTTAGATTCGATCCCACTGAGCAGCAATAAGGTCCACGACTCTGTCCAGAAAAGCACCCAGGGCGTGTCAACAGAGGTCAGCAAGCAGAGCTGGGCCTGCCGAGGGGCCTAGCCGGCCAGCGCCAGGCACAGTGGACCGATTCCACCCAAGGCCCTGCCAGAGGCTGTAACGTGCTCTCTCCCCGCACTGAGCATTCTCCTCATCTCTCTCCACCTCTCTTCCTTCTCCATGTTTTGGGTGTTACCTCTCCACCCAGGTACTGGGAATCACTAGAACATTCTGAGTGATAGGAAAAGATGCCGAGGAAAGCTGCATCCTCAAATAAAGCTGTATCTCCAGTTTGGTCCCCTGGGTCTTCTGTATCTTTTAATAGAGTCATTGAATTTAAAAATAGAACGCTTTCATTTAGAGCTCAGGCGTTGGCTCTCCAGTCTCCTCCTTCTATGGGTCTCAGGTTCTCCTCCCACACCAGCCCCACCCTTCCTTCGACCTCTCTCAACCCTCCTCACAACCACCACCACCACCACTCCTTTTTCCCCTTCACAGCCGTAGACCACAGAATTGCATTAATAATCGTAGTAGCCTATTGGCCACGGACTTTCCCCCCATTCTCTGTGACCTAAGCCAGCACTCCCTGAGCTGCTTACTCCCCTATTCATAGATCTCATTTCTTATTGCTCACTTTTTTTTTTTTTTGTCTTTTCCTTAGGAAAAAGCAGAAGAAAGGACAAAGGCAAAGTCTGACTATTAAAATAATAGCAATAAGAAGGATGGAACGGAAGTCAGCACGGCCGTTACGTAACTCCCAGAACTCCAGTCAGTCAACTCCACTTGGGTGAGTAAGACCTTGGTAATTTGAGTAATGAGTGGGCTCACTTTTTAGCATTCATTGTATTATGAAAAGAAAAAAAAAATTGGTTTCTAAGCAGCTGCATCTCCCACTGAAATCGACATGAACTGTAAGTGCTTAACACAAAGGTGTTTCCTTCCCCTCTCAAGATAATTTAGCACATTTCGCTTCAAATATAGAACGAGAGTTTGCCGGATGGCATGTCGGTTTGTACTGAAAGGTGAAATACACCCAGCGCTTTCAGATATTTCAAATTAGAAAAGAATAAATGTAAGAATTCATATTTTTAAAAGAAATATATGTCACCATCCAGGTTATTCATGTTTAATTTTAAAGAAAAGAATATTTTTAAAAGCTAAAGAAGGGTCCTATGATTTCCAAAGGTAATACGGAATCTTAACATTTCCCTACACCCCATTATCCACTTCACAGCTCAGCTGACCTTGACCCATGCCGTTCAGAAGGATTTCTCTCTGGGAAGGGAGATTCCACAGTTTGCTTCAAGAACAAACCTTACGTTTGAAAGAAAATCCTCTGTTGACAATGGCATTTCTTTTCTTTATCTCTAGAATGAAGAGCCTAAATTCACACTCAGCCACGTTGAACATGATTTTGAAAATAATTATATCACTAGCAACACTTTCTATTCTGGTCAAAATTCAGAGGACTGGCTATTTTAATTTTGAAGAAATTTCAAGACTTTGTTTTCATCCATCCCAGTGAAATCATGCTGGTTCTCAGTATTGAGTCTGAGATTCATGGGCAGGGACCTTTGGAAGAGTCTGGCACTCTCTGGGAGAATTGACCCTCAGGCCAGCCTCTTCGGGAATCCCATTAACAGAATCTCTGGCCAGCCGTTAGCCTTCATTTTCAAAACACCCCAGTGATGGGAAAGTCACTCTCTCAAAAGGGGATTCATTCCATTTTTAGATAGTATAATAGTGAGACAATTTGTCCTTACATTAAACCCAACTTTGCTCCTATTTTCTATTTGTTGATCCTAATCCTAACTTCTAGGCACATATTGGGAAAAAAATCCCAACATTCTTCTGCAATCATATTTGAATAAAGCCCTCATGTCTTCTTGAAAATTCTCTATGTTAAACAGTGCTGGCTCCTTCTGATGTTTTAGAGCGTCCTAACATCCCTCAGTGTCCCAGTCTCCTTTCTCAGGATGCATGTTCATAATGTGTAGCCTGGAAGCTAAGCATAATCTGCTGGGTGTGGTCCGACTAGCACCTGATGAGATGTCCTGTTTTTTGTCATCAGTAATTCTCAAACTTTTATGTGTCTGAAATTACCTAGAGAACTTGTTAAAAATGGACATTTCTAAGCCCTCTTCATAGACATTCAGATTTTTAGGGGCCCAGAAAGCTGCATTTTTTTTTCTTTTGAGGAAGATTAGCCCTGAGCTAACATCTGCCACCAATCCTCCTCTTTTCGCTGAGGAAGACTGGCCCTGAGCTAACATCCATGCCCATCTTCCTCTACTTTATATGTGGGATGCCTGCCACAGCATGGCTTGATGAGCGGTGCATAGTAGGTCCACACCCAGCATCCAAACCAGTGAACCCTGGGTGGCTGAAGTGGAACGTGCATCAGAACTTAACTGCTGTGCCACTGGGCAGGCCCCAGAAAGCTGCATTTTAAACAAATAGCTCCCGTTTTATGAATACCTGTTCAGCCCATATTTCAAGAAGATTTCCTTAGGGGGTGTATTTTTTTTAATCTGGCCTCAGATCTTATTCTTTTTTTTTTTTAACCACCCTATAGACTCATATTGATATTGCAATCAACCTAAACAATGTCTTCTCACAGGAGCCCCTGTCAGAGTCCCCCATCCTACAATTGTTTAACGAAGTTTTAAGGCTTAAATCCATGAAGATGCGTTTATCCCTATGTAGCATTGCCAGATAAAACACAGGAAGTGAAATCTGAATTTCAGATAAACAACAAGACATTTCTTAGTGGGACATACTTATACTAAAAACTTGTTCATTGTCTGTCTGAAATGCAAATTCAACTGGATGTCCTGTATTTTTTTGCCAAATCTGATAATCCTATCCCTGTGAAACTGACTCTGGTGCCTGTTCTGGCCCCTTTGAGCCCTAATTCTGTCCTCCAATGTTTTTGGTTCTCACAAATACTGCTCCTGTTTCCGACGGTCACATTACTGTCCCTGTTTACACAAATGCCCAGAACAGGCTCAGGTTGATGTTTGCTCACCAGTTGTAAGAAAAGATCGAGGTATGAAATTTCCACCTTTCTTCATTATGGCCAAGCTTCCCCGAAGCCCTTGAGGGCTCATTCGTTTTCAGCTCGAGGGTAAATAAAAGCACA